TCTCTCTCTCTCTCTCTCTCATTGCAGCACTGTCTTAGTCTTTGCCCAACTGTGCACCGCTTAAGAACCAAGTCCATGGACATCCCGTCCAACGCCAAGATATGGATCACAAATCCTCGAAAACAGCAGGATCCCCATGTTTCAATCCACACAATCAGTCTTCACTATAAACACAGGAGTACATCTTCGGAGAACCAAGAGCCTTATGTTTGAAATGAACTACCGCACCTTTGGGTGAAGAGGAACTTGAACTTCTTCGACAACAACTGGTGTGGAGATAAAGACGGGTACAAGCGACGCCGTTTCAAGAGCTGTGTACCTGAAGGAGAAGGAGAATGTAATAAATACAGAAAAGTTGTGACGATTACGAGAAAGGTACTATACCTGGGTGCTACTGGGTCAATCACTTTCTTGTTGAATGACCATATCTTGTCCCATTCCATCATCACAACCGATCTCGAGCCACCCTGAGCTATGATGAACTGTTTCAAACCTTCAACCGTCATTCCTCGCCGCATTACACCGCGTACAGTGGGAAAGCGCGGATCATCCCTGGAACAGTTGCAGCGCATAGCTCATCAACTATGCTCAGTAGAAAACAAGGCATAAGTCGGCTTGGAAGGGGCAACAAGTGCACTTGGCGAAGCCTGTACACACAACCTTATGAGGACTTGTAAATTCTTGTAGCCTAAACAGCTAACTCAAATCATTCCCAGCTCCACAAGAATCTATAGCTCTCCACAAAATAAGACCTGTAACTTACCATGAACTAGCGAAAGTGCAAAATACCCCTCCCAAGCCGAACATCGCCGCAAAACAACTTACCAGCCCTCGACATGACCCTCATCGACGAACCATGTTAACTTGCGTTTACTCATCACAGTATTTGTCATATTCAGACGAGCATATGACCAAATATGTGGTTTACGAATACCCAGAGCATCACAAATGAAGTAATACTGATCATCTCTGAAAACCCTTTCATTAGATTTTCATCAATTACTGCGAGAACTAGTACAAAAGAAGCCTGTAGTTCACCTGTCAGTATACTCAGTTGTACGGAGAGCATGAGTTACTCCTTCCACACTATCCACAATAGGGCAGGCGAAGTCGTACGTCGGATAAACCCTGGAAATATGGTGTAGAAATCAACTTAAACACTGTGCAATCGAACTGAAAGGACAGAATACAGAAAAGTTAAAGTACCATTCTGCGCTCATTTTATGGGCGGAGTAATCTAGGAAAG